TCCATCGATATTCATAAAAACAACCATTTAATTATCCAAACAAGACAATACAAAATCCCAAGATCATAATATCAAACTCCGAGCGTGTGTGTGTACGGATCAAGCCGGCGCCTTCCCGCGATCGTCACTAGTACCTGAAACAATAACATCAAACACTGTAAGCACAAGGCTTAGTGAGTTCCCCAAAATACCACATATAACACATATTAGCCACTCGAGGCTATAACTCTGTGGGTCCGTGCACCCAAACTCTGTGAACCCTCAGGTTCTAGCTCTGATAAATATGCACCACATAAATCACATAGAAATAATGCAGTACAACACGTAACATACATAGCATACCAATACTCTATCACATAACTCTGGTTACCTACTCAAGGTAAAGTATAATGAGAAGACTCACCTCGTGTGTCTCGGTAAGTCGTAAATCTGAAATCGCTAATCACTCGATCTGCCGAGCTATAGTCCTCCTATAGCACAATACATCTCTAATTAACACTTTCCCAACTAGGGTTGACCATACTATAACAAGTCAACTTAGGTCAACGGTCAACGGTCAACTTTGACCGGACTCGGCGAGTACGCTATAGCGACTCGGCGAGTCTGAGCGTATACACCAATTTCCCTGGGATCCTCCCTTGACACGTCGAGCATTCTCCCAACTCGACGAGTTCCACCTGGCATGAGTTGTGGGGCCACCACGACTCAACTCGCCGAGTCTCAAGAACAACTCGGCGAGTCCAGTTTGACTCAGTCCACCTGTCCACTCTGACTCCCCCTGACCCACTGAGTCCACCCTTCCCAACTCGGCAAGACCACTCACTGTGTGGTCGGGCAACATTCATGCTACTCGCCGAGTCTGTTCTTCGGACTCGGCGAGTCCGTGCCATGCAATGACTCAAACTTGCTCATAAGGTCAGATCCAGTCCATTAACCCATAGATCCAGTCCTTCCAAGCTCATTTAGCACGTAAAGTTACAATCTTGATGCACATACAACCTCTATATGACCATATATGATGTTTTTGACTCAAATACTACAACACAAGGTCATGAACTCCATTGCCATACAAAAAGCTTGATGAGTGAGGCTCTCTGGACCTCTATGGATCCAGATCCAAAACCTCAGCACAAGGAGGGAACCATTGGGCATCAAATCATCCCATAAATGTCCATAATAAGCCCTAAATCGCATTATACTTCACCAAACAGAATATAAACGGAAATCATACCTCTAGATTGATGATCTAGGCTCCAAATCCACGAAATAGCAACCTCCTTTGCTTCCTCTTGCCTAGGATCACCTCCTTCTTTGCTAAATGGCACCCACAAGGTCAAGATATGCTCCTTTCTCTCTCAAATCGTCCAAGCACTCAAGGGTTTCTCTCTAAGGGTTGGGTGAGCACAAATGACGGCCATAAGGCCCTTTAAATAGGTCTCAAACCCGGAAATTTAGGGTTTCACTACACAGCGCAGACTCGCCGAGTCCATATCCTGGACTCGTCGAGTCTGGGCGCGATCCATCGTCCAATCCGCGTCTCTACTCGGCGAGTCTGAGCTCCAACTCGCCGAGTCCCCCTCACAATTAAACAAAATTCAATTTACATGATACCTGGCAAAAGTCCGGATGTTACAATTATATTCACATATCGCAATGTTGCACAATTTGTCTCAATACTTTAAAACCTGGGTTGTTTGACTCTTTTCAAGTTAATTTGTTTGGTAGAAATTAATCAGCATGACAAGTTGGTCAATTTTGGGTTTCCAAACGCCCTACCATTTCAAGAGTTCAACAATTTGATGGTTTTAGTTGTAATTCGAATAATATTGTTGGAAGTTTGATGTTTCATTGCACATTTAACTTGGAATTATATATAAAATTTGATCGCCCCAGCTTCGATTTAATTTTAACGTGATTTTGAGTGTACAATTTAGGATTTGTTTTGATTTTAACTTGATATTTGGCTGCATTTCATGAATTGGTTCATATTTCAATTTATGTTTTTTTTTTTTTTTGATTTAACACTTCATTTATGTGGACAGTGCAGGATCTTGACAAGGTAGAATTCTTAAAAGGTATCAACTATGTTTATGTAGATGATTCAATGAGTGATATTGGTGAGATTCCAATTCTATTGGAATGGAATCACGAATTCTAATTCCGTTGGAATGAAATCATGAATTCCAATTCTGTTAGAATCACAGATGTTGATGCTTGAAGAACGGACCATAAAAGTGAAAGTGATTCTAAGCAACATTATTCTTTTAGAATGTATTAGTCGTTGTTAGATTTTGATGTTTTCTTTCCCGTTTTGAAAGTTTTTTTAGTTTTATTCTTTAACAATAAATGTAATTCTTAACAACTGTTACCCGTATTCTCTAAGAAATATAATTTTTTTTTATTATTCTTCAATTGATTGTTCAAGAATTTGTTATTCTACAAGAAGTCTTTAAATTCATGATCAAGAAATAGGTTCAAAATATTTTTATTATTTATGGTTCAAGAATATTTTTATTTTTGAATATACTCATAAACATATTTTGTCAGAATGTCCGAATCAAAAAGAATTATAATTAGTAAAATCGGATTTTTAAAATTAATATAATCTATGATCCCTTAAAAAATACAATTTTCCTTTATTATAACTATATTATTTGAAAAGAAAGGAAACGAAGGTAGTGAAGCTGCCACCACAGCTCCGTCACCACCCACCCACCATCGCTATAACTGTTGGTAAAACTCACTTCACCACCCACCACCCACCAAACGCCTCCATCCTGTCGTTACCCACCACCACCAAACACCATCGTCTTTGTTGCTTCGTCTTGGTCCACCGTCGTTGCAGATCATGTAGAAGAAGAAGAGAGGATGGGGTTAGGATCATTTTTTCTCATCCTGATGCAAACTAAGTCGAAGGAGGAGATGTCATCGTCTATAATCTTCGAGCTTCCTTTTGATGCTTTTACACGCAATTGATGGTGGGAGGATCGAGCAGAGTCATTGAAGGCTAACTAGTGGCGACTGTTTGTATATGTGGAATGTGTGTATGTATCTGTGTGTATCGTGGAGTGTGTGTATGTTCTTTATGGTGATCAGGGGGAGGACGGAGAGAGAGAGAGAGAGAGAGAGAGAGAGAGAGAGATTTTATATTTAATAATAATAATAATTTTAAAAAGTGAAAGAAAAATGAAAATTAAATTTATTAAATGTATAATAGTCTTTTTAGTTTGGACAAGAACTAAAACTGCACGTAAACTAGATCAAAATGACCATCAATCCAAAAAAGTCGAGGTTTGGATTAAAACCCTAAAAAAATGCATACCACATGTACCATTTATATATATATATATATATATATATATATATATATATATATATATATATATATATATAGAGAGAGAGAGAGAGAGAAAAGAGAGAGATATTTTGTAAAATTATGGACAAATTTCTAGCCATGCATTTGGAATTTCAAAAAAATTTAATAATAATAAATAAATAAAATATTTATATACATATTTTTGAAGCTTTTTACATAAAAAGAAATAAAAATCACCATCCATATTTAATATTTTAACATGGTAGAATATTACTTATTAAAATATATCACGTGTAATATTATGTATATTCTTCATATTCTAACAATTGATATATTTTTATAATATTTTACAAATAGGATGTTAGAATATGTAGAATATTATTATTATTATTATTATTATTATTATTATTATTATTATTATTATTATTATTATTATAAAAGCTATCGAAATATAGAGAATTTTTTTTTCCATTTCTTTTAGGTTTTTGACACCAAGATATGTGTGGCTAGATACGTGTTCTCGGGTCTCAGAAAATTGTCATCTTTTACTATGTAAAGTTACGAAATTTTATGAAAAACAAATTGAGTGAATATTCATCATCAACTCTTTAATGTTCTTGCTCTTCAAACTAACAAAGTAAATCCTAAAATCTTTAACGTTGTTCATCTTCTAATACTATGCATTTGATAACATATAGAAAAAATGGGGTAATTACTATTGGAAATTTTTTAATGACTTGATGTTTTTTCTTTTTGTGTTAGACATACACTCCAAAGCTTCCAAAGAATATATAATACATACACTACTAGAAAAAATACTTCCCTTGACAAACGAATTACGACGTACAATCGTTTTATGACAGACATAAACGTCTATCATTAAAGTCTGTCATATTTCATAAAATATAAATGATCTATGACGAACAAAACTATTTGTCATACATTTATGTCGTATGTTAATTTGTTAAATTTTAAATAAAAAAGAAAGAAGGAACATTTTAATGTATGAATTGATTTGTTTTTCATGAGTTATAAGATATGGAAAAAACATTATATATATATATATATATATATATATATATATATATATATATAATAGTATATTACTTTAATTCCTAACATACTTATTAAGAACAATTTACTTTGTTTGTTTCATATTCTGACACATTACTTTGCTTCCTTCCATAATTTGTCCATGTTTGTTGGTTTTTGATATTTTGATCACTTTATTTTGCTCGGTTGCTATAATTTGTCCATGTTTTATTGTGTTTCATATTTTGACCAAATTACTTTGCTCCCTTGCCATAATTTGTCCATGTTTTTTAGTTGTAGATATTTTGATCACCTTATTTTATTCTGTAGCAATAATTTTCCCTGTTTTATATAGTTTACATTATTTTCACTGTTGGTTCAAATGGCACAGATGTCTCACTTCCCTATTTTTCCTCTGTTTGTCACGTTACTCGTTTCTCTCTGATTCATACTCATTTTATATAACTGGATTAAGTGAGGGTGTATTTTGGTCATTTTATAAATGCAAAATGATTTTATAGATTTTATAAAAGGAAATCTCATGGAGGGACTGTATTTTTTTAAAAGACTAAACTAAGGAAAATTTAGGGCTTTTAATTGCCATTGACTTTAACGATCGGGAAAGAAAAGGGGCATACAAACGGACGTGCTTATGAACGATCATAGTGAGGGTGAAACACGAAGAAAACACGAAAAATGGGAGGGGTTCGATGGTTCTTCAACAATCGGTAGGCTAGGCATCGTCAGAGGCCGTCGTCGGCGTCTGGCTCGACCGCGGAAGAGAGGAGAGCGAAGGATCGTGGCGGCTAATCCGGAAGCCCTAACCGATCGCGGAGAGGGAGAAGAGACGAAGGCAGCGAGGCCTTCTCTTTCTCATCTGGCGATTTCAGACCCATCACACTTGAGTGGCGAGCTCCAGTGGTCGACTAGACCGAAGAAAGACGTGGGTAGAAGCAGTGACGTTGCTTTGCGGTTGTCAGACGGGAGTGAGAAGCGAGGGAAAAGGAGGTCTCGGTTCTTGGGCCGGTCACAAAGATGAAGCGGCATTTGGTCGATGAGAAGGAGGACATTTGGCTCGATGGAGCAAGGCAAGTGGAAACAAAAGCTCCGATGGGGGGGTTTTGGCAATGGTGCTCGATAGAAGAAGAGGAACGAATCTGCTGTGGTTCACGAAGAGACGGGTAATTGCATGGGGCTATTTCTGTAGCTCCTTCGTTCTTTCTTTTTCTCTTTTTTTGTTAATTTTGATGGAAATCGATGGGGTTTTTGGATTGACTTTATTGTTTAACAGTAGTGGATATAACCTAAGTGGGTGTTTGGTTTCCTTGAAATAAGAAGATGAAGAATACATGTGTATGCGTTTGATGTTTGGTTTTAGATGGACAGGGAAGGAAACAAAAACATGATGTTGTTGATTCTGTTTGCAGGTATACCCTAGAACAAGATCAAAGTCTACTTGTGTTCTTGGCTGAAATAGGTGAGAAAGAAAGAATTTTGGATGCTTAGGTTTTTTGTTTTGGTTTTGGTATTTGATAGGGAAGATGAAGAATGAAATGATGGATGCAAGCTGTTTTGTTCGATTCTTACAGTTTTAGTATTTCTTTTTTGTGTGGGTTAGTATAAACTAAAATTAGAAGCAACATGTTGGTAAAGTGATTTATTACACTTCAAATAAACGAAAGTGATTTTTTTCTTACAGTTTTAGTATTTCTTACTTATGTACTTTCTCTCCATTTTCTTTTTATCTTCTTCAGGGACTAATTATTCTGCATAATCTTTCAGTTGACCTAGCTTAATGCTCATCTTACAAAGATCTGGCCCTCTATGTTGATGAGGTCAGTTTTAAAATTTAAACCCCTCTATTCACCATCATTATGGTAATATGCTTATCATGTGTTTTTGGATTGTCTTGTAGGCAACATCTGAACTTATAAAGGCTAATTTGGAGCTAACTCTTGAAAAATATAGACCAATGGTGTTGTCCTATTTGTCATTTTCCAAGTTTACCCTCGGCACGGTGGCCCCTCAGTTTATAGGTTAGGCTAATTGATAGTATTACCATTTGCATTTATCCTTTCATAGTAAGAAGATTCCACATAACTTGAATCTTAATTATCAATTGTTTATATTGCTTAGGAGTTTCTACTGTTGACGATGGAGGTGAAGGAATAAATATGGAGTTGGAAATGAATTGGGATAGAAACCCTAGTATAATACTTGATATCAAGACTTGACTAGGAGTTGGATTGCCTGTGCAGGTAATTCAATTTGCCTAGCTATCAAGGGTTATTATTGGAATTTGGAAAATAATTGGCTTTAACTTTGGTTACTATTAACAAACCATATTCTTTAATCTTAATCTCTTTTGTTGTTCAGGTGAAGAATATTGCATTCATTAGGATTTCTAGGTTGATTTTTAAGAAAATAATAAGATGATCATGATCATTAATTTTCTGATTATTGATGGTTAAAATAACCAAATTTGGAACAACGTGCGAAATGAACTCTGAAACTGGTAAACTGTTAAAAGAAATGAAAATCTCAAAGAAACTTATCTCTTCATCTGTATATTTTTCTGGTGAGTCTTCCCAACACACGGTCCTTAAATTGTCTTAACCTTTTTCTTCTAACGTTTGTTTTCCTGTAATGATAGATGATTGAGAAGAACTACTTAAGTTTTCCACAGATATTGTATGTTCCTACTTTTTGTATGCACATTTTCAAAGTGATTACTGTAGTTATGATGATGTTTTTTTGACTTTAATCAGTGTCCGGTGAAGCATATGCATATGTTGGATGATAAAAAACACCATACCTACATATGTATTTGGTGACCAGAATCTGCACATGTGGAAAAATGGATCAAGTCAACAACCATTAACTGCAAGAAGCTATGATTGACATATCAAATGCTGCAAAAGATTTGATTGATTAAGAAGTTTCGGCTTTTTATCGAAATCCCGATAATACCCTTTACATATAAAATGTGTGTGTTTGTGTTTGTGTGTTTTAGAGTGATATGAATTTACTAAAATACCCTTGGTTAATTTTAGGGTTGGAAGGTTTGGATGTCGGCTTAACATCGGTGTTGGAATCGATGGAATTCTGTTTAGAGTTGCGGGGTTCGGAAGCTTGTGCTTTGGAGGACTTCACAAAAGTTATCAATCTAGTGCATCTCAGGAAGGATCTTGTGGAAAGTGGTCATGTGTTGCTAAACCATGCTTATCACAATTAACAAGAATATGAAAGGTATGAGGGTGGAACTGGAATCCGTGATTTCGATGGAATTGGAATATGCAATTCCAGTCCAATGTAAAATAAATGGAGTTTAATTCTATCCGAAGGTAGAACCAGACTCAGTGATTCCGACAGAATTGGAATTAGTGATTCCGACGGAACCAAAACCTTACAAAAACTTCAAATGAAAACCAAAATTGCAAGAGAGCCTTTTGACATTATGGTTAATGTAATGGAATATATTTTTGTATATGTATGATATCTTATTTTGCATTATTGGACATTAAATGTGTAATTTATTTTGTTTAATATTTGGTACAAATTTAGAATATATATATATATATATATATATATATATATATATATATATATATATATATAGATAGATATAGCCATGAATGTTACGAATTACGACATACAAAGCCAATCGTAAATGTATGTCGAAAACGTGTGTCGTGTATGTATGTCATAATTGTAGGTCATAAAGGTCTGTCGTAAAATTTATGACATGCCAAATGCCTGTCATTATCTTTTAAGACATGGCTTTCAATGACAGACATTTGTCTGTCATGTATAGGCATTTACTACAGACACTGTCTGTCAAGGAAAGCCTTATTTCTAGTAGTGATACGTGTTTCTATCTCGATGATTCGGTTCTCATTGAAATAGAACAAGAAACAGAATAGTATGTCCATGGGACATCCTATACAAAAACAAACCTAGCTTTGAAAATTAATCTAATGACCCACAGTTTCTTGTGTTGCCAATAACACTCACAAAGCTTTCTGACTATATATGCTATACATTTTGAAAATAGGGAAGTTCTCTTTTTGAAGTTCGACGAAAAACGAAACTCACATCGAGATGTAAAGACGGTGATGATGAAAAAGACGAATACTTGGTGAAGAAGAATACATGTGGAAAATAAAATAAGTATTTTATAAAGTTTATATTTATGATGAACACAATTTAACAATGAAAATGAGATTATTAAAAAGATGAATAAAAAATTGGTTTTTCATTGATAAAACCGTCAATAAAGATTATGACCAAAATATTAGAATACTCATATTTCCATATGTCACAAATTTTATATCCTTAGAATCCTGTAGAAGAGGTCTACAATTTTCATTAAGGTCTCAACATCTAATTCTTGTCCCAACAAAAATTCACATCTAGACCGACTTAAACTGTTAAAGTTTGTACGAAATTTATATCTTCTTTATACGAACTCCGTTTCCGATTATTTTTTTTATCAACGGGTTCATATTTACGAAATCTTTAACTCTTGTTTATATTTTTTGCTAACAATCAACCGATTAGAATTCCAATTTCTATGTCTGCACTGTTGCGCTAAAATTTCAAAAAAGTATAACTTCTTCTAATGAAGTTGGATTTGGTTGTTCTCTATATGCACGTTCTCGCTTTAACGATTACTATGAATTTTGTTTACATTACTTAGGATAAAAAGTAAGCTATAAAAATTTTACTTTTTACGATACTTAGAGTCGTACCGGTTTAATAGTGAAACTTCGAAAAAGTATAACTTCTTCATAAGAAGTCTTATTTCAGCATTCTTTATATGTACAGAATCCATGTCATATATACTATAAATTTTGTTAAAATTATTTATCTTAAATAATCTTCTAGCAAAAAAAATCATTTTTAACGCTTATTATATTTTAATTGACTAGGCAGAATCTGCGGATGTTACACTATGGCATAGTTAATACATAGCATCCCCATGCCACAACTTCTCACCTTTCATGTTAGTCTCCTAATGAGTAAGGATTCACCATCAATTCACTAGTATGGTATAAGAGATAACTATTGGGTTTTCTATTCGGAATAATCAAAACAATCTTTATGTGCATATGCACCATAGGATATAGGTTTTACTAACTATAGCAACCTACTTTAATATTGTAAATCTACTAAAGAAACACATAATTACTAACCTCTGGTGTGGCTTGGTCTTGATCTTTTTTAACCTTCCTGATCCAATAATTTTGCTCGGATGAGTGGACCCAATGTAGAATCCATCTAATGGAATTACACCTAAGACTCCAAAGAGAGAACCAAAAGAAAACCAGGAGAGGATCAAAATTATACAAACCCTAGAAAGGGTTAAGAAACTCGTATCTACACATTTTAAATTTATAACCTAACTTAACTAACTATGCACTTATAAGCAGTGTACCTAGTCAGATTATAGAATATCTTAGGTAAGTCAGATGTTGAACACCGGGAACATAATTTAATTGATTAATTTAACTACATCTAATTAAACTAAAAAACAAACTTTGATTGGGGTTTTACTGATTTTTCAAGATCAGAGGAACTTAATTCAACTAATTACAACTAACAAGCAACGAAGACAAATAAACTTCAAGAATTAAAGAGTACTTTTGCTTAGATTCGATTTCACCTTCTTCTATGGTTGACTTCTAGTGGATAAAATATATTGATTACCAATTTTATAACTAGCTATTATGATCAAATAACTAGACTAATCAGTTTATGAATTACCATGCAATGATCAAGCACAAGTTAAACACCAAATCAATAATGAACTCAAATTAGACTACAAATGATAGTAGTTACTTTTCTATAATCAAGTTAAGCAACCAAGCACAAATTAACATTAATTATGCTCTCTAACACATTTAAAGTTGCTAGCTTTAATTATTTTATCTAATATTTAATTAATATTAGCTCTAATTATTTAATGATTATAAACAATTAGGTGACAAATTCATGCAATTAGAATGACCAACCATCACACAAAATCTGATTAATAAGCAATATAAGCTAGAACTAAAACATGCTAGTGTTTAAATATCAAACACATGTAAAATCAACATATATCATCCAATAAACAAAATCAACACATAAGGATTAGGTTTATCTTCACCAAATAGAAGTAAAAGGTTTCTAGCCTCTCATAGTAGCAGAAAAACACACAAAAGTTATGTAATTAAGACTAGACATGAGCAAATCGATTAAATATATGAATAATTCTTCAATATTCTTCAATTCTTGAGCTCCATTTGGTTATCGATCTTCTCCTGAGTTTCCAGAGGTTTTTAGTTGCAATTCTCCTCAGAAAACCGGTTGGAAGCCTTTACACTCGACCTAATAATAGAATACTTATAGTTTCCATAAAACTGGTTGTCGTGACGTGGTCAACTGCCACCACATCGTGGTCTTCGTCGAAATCCTGTATTCTCCAAGTCAACGTTAATGATCGAGAATCTTCTTTTCACCACGTCGTGGTCTTCTATCTTCAAGTATTCTTTTTCTTCATTCCTACTTTGTCTCATCCATTCCAACTTCCAGCTCTTCGTTTGCTTCCTTTTTGTCTCATGCATGTCTTTGCTACTACAAAACATATTTCAAACATAATAAGCATCTTTTGTCCCAAATTAAGCATAATTATAGACTAAAATATTAAGAAAGATGCATAAATTATATGGCTAAATATGTACATATCAAAATACCCCATACTTGGCTTTTGCTTGCCCTCAAGCAAAACTAACTATTATTATTATAATATCAAAATTCTAGCCACCAACATCACGCAACACAATCTATTTTGAGCTTCTCCATTACATCAAGATCACAATGCATATATTTATATCTAATTTTCCTAAGAACATCCCCAACCCTAAATAGTCACAATCTTCATAAACACTTCCCTAGTTCTTTTGAACAACACTTATTTTATGCATTCCTCCTAAAATATCCTTAGAAATCTTTCTTGACCTCAAGGTAATTGTTGGTTAAACCCCCATGCATACATATGGAAAAATAACCTAGAAATAAAAAATTACAAATAATAACTTGGCAAATTGTCTTATTCTTGAACTTGAGTCTTTGAATTTTTGAACTTTTCTTCATGATATTTCTTTATCTTCATGGATTTGTAGACTCATGTTCTCTCAAACTTTTGCAGCTTTTTTTTTCTTTTTTTTCACTTTTTTACTCTTTTCTCACTTTTTCACTCAAACTAAAACCTAAAAAAAAAAGCATATTGTTAAGCAAGGGAACTTAACTTCAACCTTTATTGCTTAAAGGTGTCAGTCTGTGGTGCAATGACTACATAAGCTCTCCTAGATACATTTCTGGTACACTTGATAAACATATTATGGCCCTCGAACTAAGAAAGGTTGTGATTTTGTTCCATGATTTCACTAGAATAGGGAAGCCACAAATATACTAGAACATATATTGGATTAAATAAACATTGAAACTCACATCGGATCGTCCCACACAACACTAACAACCTAGGTCTCAACACCACAACTTTTAACTAGATTCAATTTTTAGATAATTATTTCAAATCTTACTAATAATTTTTTTTAAATCCTAGTCATTTTTTAAAAAATTTATCAGTATGATGGTATTCATATATTCAACCCCTACCCCACACGTAAATGATGCAATGTCTCCATTGCATGCTAATACAATAAAAGAACTTAAAATTAAAGAGGAGAAATTGGAAGACTCCCTTGGGGTAGTAGCGGCGAGATCGAATTTAGAACTTGTGTGGTAAAGCTTGGAGTTCTCGAATTATGGCTGGAAATGGTACTTCTGAGCTCTCTTCTTGTGAATATAAATGATCTGGATCGAAATGAACTAAAGAACCATTATTCAAAAAGTTTGTTGAACGTCAGCCACGACGTGGTAAAGAAACGCCAAATTGTAGTGTCGAGTTTGAAGTCATGATTTTTGCAAATTATAAGATCGCCATGACATGGTCTAGTGATGTAACGTCATAGTGACAGGTCAAATGTAGTCGTGATAATGTCAAATGCCACAACGTGGGGATGATGGCCACGTCATGGTGTCTTCTCAAAATGCCTTAAAAATCCAAAAGAATGCATTGTTCTATCTTAATGGCTTAGGATCATTCCCAACCTTTTCTTTCTATAAAAAAAATTCAAAACTCTTCTTTTCATCAAGTGGAAACCCTCACTTATTCAAAAACATGGTCTT